CTAGCTAAGTAAGTTTATCAAATACTATTTTCCGTCTTTAACCGCAGTTTGTTTTGATTGCTAGTTTTTCAAATTTGGATTTTTAAATAATCAAAGGACTTAATGAATTAGTGTTATTTATCCTGCATTAATTTCTCGCTTTTGTGCAGTTGAATCATGAACTCAGGTATGCAGATTTTTTATTTATTTTTTTGTTTTTTGATATAGATCATTGTTGTCCCGATTTGCAGGTGTACAGCCAAATCGGAAGAAGATTATCGACGTCTTTTTGATCAATTTGTGCATGATTTGCTTACTGCCTTATATAAACCTGAATGGCCCGCTGCTGAAATGCTTTTGACATTACTGGGCAATGTTCTGGTTACTTTCTATCGTTCGAAAAATGTTGATATGTCACTGAGAATTGCCAGGTATCTTTAACACTCCCAAATACATAATGGTTTAAATAGTTTATAGTCATATGAAACGGCAAAGGTATGATTTACAAGAGACGGATATTTAGAATTCTTTCACAAGAATAAAACATTCAGAAAAATAATTCTATTTTCTATGCATATCTCCATTTTATATTTTCAACTACCTTCTCTCTATTTGCGTTTTACTTTACAGCTTAGATTACTTGGGTACAGTAACTGCTTCGCTGCGTAAAGATATGCAACAAACTATATCGGATGATATTCGGCTGGATGTAGTTGTTAAAACACTGTTATACGAAGAGCTTGAGGAGGAAGAACGGACTGGCGATATAGATACCATTGATATCAGTCATGTTAGCTTTTCCTGTTATACACACCAATCAAATCAGTTTTGTCAATCTTACCAGAACTGTTCAGTTCAGTGCTTGTCCTAGGGAATTTACCATGCCAATTAATCGATCTCTCCAGTTTGCCAATTTATGAAGTTAGCAGTCGTTTTAATAATATGATTTCAACTAAGCAACAAGTGCATTTATTTTGGCTTGTTTGAAGCTTGTGAAATATGTGTGTCGTCCTACTCCTTTATTTCCCACCTATCCTCACTTCTATTCAGGATGTCGAGAGGGACTTCTATAGTACTTTTTTTCTACGTTCAGCATAGGAAAGGTGAAATTTAAAGAATTCATTTGTCAGTGACTTCATTTCTTTAATGAGTGCCAATTATGTGCAAATTGTGGCCGATTTTATTGAAGTTGATTTTAATCTTCTACCAGATCTATTTCTATTTCATTTTGAATGTCCTCTTTGCAGATGTCATCAGCGGATAAGATGAAGAAAGTCCAACGAGCCTTGATTGATTATCTCGTTGAAAGAAGGGGCGATGCTGATGTTTCCATCGAGGTACTTGATTTTTTGCACGCAACCAGCAGTGTAATTTATTCGTAGACTTTCATCTTCAAAAAAAAAAAATTCACTTTTCATCATTTTCATCTTCAAAAAAAAAGAATCGGAGGAAATACCAAAAAAACTTTTTGGTACTTTCTCCGCTTCTGCGGTTAATTTTTATTGCTAGATTTTTAACTGCATTAAAAGCTTTAATTTGGAATTTCCAGTATGCGGTAATGTTTTATGTCGGTATTTGGTACAAGGAAGTGTATGAAGAAGCAGAATCAGCAAAGCAGAAGCTGAAGCAAATCATGAATAGTTCGGAAATCAGTGATAAGGAAAAGCGAAAATTTGAAAAGAAATCTGCCAGGGTTAGCGCATTTTTGAGTGCAAGTCTTTTAATAATTTATATTTAATCGCTGTAGTCTATTCAGTATTCAATTTTAGTTTAACTCTATTGATACATTTGTTGAACATATTTTATAGTGTTGATTATTTTTCCAGTAGGAATATAATTCATGATTAAGTTAACTATTAGTAAGCATTTCAGCACAACACGACTGATTGTTGAGCAGAAGATGATTTAATGAATCGAATCTGATTGTAATGTTTTTAAAGAGGAATTTGCAAGGAATTTTTGTACTGTTTATAAATGAATTTAGGTCTTGGAACGATGTCAAATAATGAAGGTATTTCTCATCAAAACTGCTGACAAAAGACATATCAGGAAACGTGCTGAACAAATTGCGTATGTTTTTTAAAAGAATATTTCAACTAAATAACGATATTACATTGATTAAAATCGTAACGTTTGCTCTTTTTGATCTTGTTTGTAATTTCAAAAGTAGAAAAACATGGAATTACAACCAGCAGGTATTCTCTATGGTAATCAATTTTTAGTACTGTGATAGCATTGTTTTTTTTTCCTGATTATTCGTTTAGCTTCCCACCATCTTTTCTAAACAGTAGATTCTCTTTTTATTTCTTTACTTTTGGTGATTAGACTTTATTCTACGTCACCGTCAAACTTTACGAGATAGGAGGCTCATGCGGGCGAAGGAATTTTTCCCTTACCTTGCAAGTTTATTCAGTTAATTGATTCCTTTTTGCATTTGGTATATCTTCGAATTATGCATTTACTTGTTTGTCGCGACCGTTCGTGTTGTGTCTATTGCATCTTTTTTTTTTCAGACGAACTGGCAGCATTTTGATGGATAGTGATGCGTTATGGCTTGTAAGATTCTTGGCATCAAGCCGAGAATTTAGCCAATCGTTTTCGACATACCTCAACCATGTTAGCATATTTCTAAAAAAATTATGTTTATTGATAAATAAAGGTTACTGAAGAATCTTATAATGATTTGGAAGTATTTCAGATTTTGTATGGTATACATGCGGAACAAGCAGTAGGTTTAAGAACCAAAGCAATGCGGTGCTTAACTTTGATTATTGAAGCAGATCATGCAGTTTTAAAAATTGTAGGTCTTTTTTTATTTCGTAAAGCATCAGCAAAGTTTTTTGAAGGAAAAGGAAAATTTTATTTGCTGTGTTTTGCAGTTCTGATAGCTTTCAGATTAATTTCAAAGACTTTCATGATTTCGCATTATTCGTGATTCAATTTGGTTGCACACATACGACATGTCTAAGCTTAAGTCCATTTGAAGAGCAACTAATATACTTTTGCAGCCCGAGGTGCGCAAAGCAGTTCAGGCAAGGATGATGGATCCGAATGCAGCAGTTCGTGAAGCGACTATTGAACTTATTGGAAAGTATTTGATTGCGAAGCCTGAATATGTACCGCAGTATTATCCATTATTAATTGAACGCATCAAGGTTATTGATTAAAACGAAGTTTCAAATGTGAATGAAACTGAAAATAGCACTCACTACTTTATCGTCAGTTTGTTGACGTGATAGGCGACACATCTCATTGCAAGTTTACAAAGTTAATTTATAGTTTAGGAATTAATGCTTTTTGTCTGTGTTTCTTCCAGTCATTTTTTTTTCACGTTGCTTGACTTCACTTTTCAATGTAGGATTCTGGTGTAGCAGTTCGGAAGCGTATAATACGTATATTGCGTGAAATTTGCGAAAAACAGCCTGATTATGACAAAATGCCAGAAATTTTGGCGCGGATTGTGCGTCGCATATCGGATGAAGAAGGAGTAAAGAAGCTAACCATTGATACTATGCAAAGCTTGTTGTTCCAACCTGCTCGTGAACGTGATTCTATTCAATTAATTAACAAGTTATGAATTTACTTTCTTTTCTACTACGAAATATTTCAAATGGCTCTTTCAGGAAGAAAACAAAAAAACAAGCATCACCGATGATTTTTAATTTTTCCTATATCCCCTCTTGATGTCTTCATCATTTTTAGGTAATGACGTTAACTGATATGGTACAAATATGTGTCAAGGAAAATACACTGGACTTCTTTGAACAGCTACTAAACAGTTTACTTAAAAGCAATGATCGAACATTGCTATTTGCTTCACGACAGATTGTGGATACGTTAGTGGATAACGTTCTTACGTTAGATTCTAAAATGGCTTCAGGTGATTCGATTTCTGTTTATAGAGTTTTATTCCAAAAAATAATACGGTTTGCTGTGTTAACTTTGTATTTTAAGCGCATTGTGTAGTTTAATTGTAATTTTACTTCTTATGCGTTCCCTTTTAAATTTCTTGATGAGCTTCTGAAAGTGTGAATTACTGCACTTTTATGTTATTTAAGGTGGTGATGAAGTGATAAGTAGTGCCGAAGAAAGCACTTCTATGAATGCAGCGGCAGCTCATAAGGAACATCAAGAACGAATGCTGGCTTGTCTATCCACCTTATCGCTGTTTAGCAAAGCAAAACCAGATTTGATGGTCAAACATGCTGAAACACTACAACCGTATCTCTCAATGAATATGAACGGACCTGCAGAGCAGCAAGTCATGAATCAGGTGCCACTGATTTACAGTAGCTTTCACGAAGTAGCTGTTTAAATTGGTTCGAAACTCGAAAGTTCAATTTCTCAAGAAGTCTCTTGAAGCTCTAGATAATTCTTGATGATATTTGAAAATTTTCAAGAATTTTGTTCTTAATTCTGGTCGCAGTTATCATTATATGAATATAAATATAATGTACGTCTTGATAAAGGTTATCAATATGTTGGAAAGAGTGGTTCCACTGATGGATCATCCATCAGAATCATTCCTCAAAACACTCGACGAAAGTTTATATCAACTAGTAAAAGATGGTGGTATGCGTATCATTGCTTCATCGTTAGCCTGTAATGCGGCTATATACAATAAATGGAAGAAACGAACTCCAGCCATTATTGAAACATTTTTCAAATATTTGAGTAAGTTCTATGCATTTCGTAAAATCTTTATAAAGATCTTTCTGAATATTTTTATCAGTTAACAACACTATTCTCTGTGAGATTTCATGTTGCCGTGTAGGGTCACTGTTTGGATTTTGCTCTAACATAAAATAATGTGATTCATGATTGGTATATGGCATCAATTAATGATTTATACGGTTTGTAGAGTACTTGCATCAAATAAAGGAGGATGTATTGCGAAAGCAGAGTCCTGGAATCCCACCAGTGAAGAAACCAATGGTACTAAGGTGTAGTGTTTGATGATAATCTTGCTGTTTAGACCATTCTAATTTACTAGTGGATGTTACCATTAGTTCTCTTCTTATTTTCCCTTTTGTGTAATAATCAATTTGATTATATTTGAAACCATATCTTTTAACGATTTCACTTTGAATTTAGGATTTGTTAGTTTTTTCCAGGTCGTTGTTTTCTATCGGTTTGATGTCACGCTATTTCGATTTGGATACAATATTGGAAAATGATGAAGAAGCGAAGAAATTTCTAGATGCGAATGCGTCAGCACTACTACCATCCTCTCCATCAACGGAAGTAAATGAGGAGAATGATGAGGAGGAAAAACAATCTACAAAACCCAACCCTTTTGTTGAAATGATTTTTCAAATTCTGACAACGTTCTGCAGATATCGTGATGGTGATATTCGACTAAAGGCTTTGAATGCTGTTGGTTAGTATAATGCTGAAATCAAAAATTTAAATCTATGATGTTTGTAGAATTTGTAACATTGTTTACGAAAAAGTTTTTTGTTTACACTTTCAGGGAATTTCACAGCAACTAATTCGGAGTACCTGACACGGACGGAGCTGCGGAATATGTACATGACATTGCTAGGAACTGATGATAAAGAGTACTTGGGTTTGAAAATACAAGCTCTGAAGAATTTGGAATTATTCTTGAGTGCTGAAGAATCAAAAATGGTCAAAAATAACAGTGAATGTGGGATTTTTTGCTATAAAAATCGAAATAAAATCTCGAAAAAAAATCATGTTTGAAATCCATTCTGGATTGGCAAGAGATTGGTAACGATTGAGTGCTTGGCAAAACATATGTTGTAAAATGCTCAAGCATTTTGTGAAGCGCTTGTTGATGAGCTAACACCAGGCGTTTTAAGTTTCGGGAATCCAATGAGTAGTTGGGTTAAATAAAGGTTTGGACCGCATTAATAACAACCGTTCTATGTTTAGGAAGTACATAAAAAAGTACCATTATTGCCTACAAAATCAGTAATTAGTTTCTAACAGTGACTTTGTACGCTATAAATATAAGGTTATAGGGCATATGTCAAAAGAAGAACATGATTTGAAAGAAATGGAATTGGCGAATTCCGGATTAGCTTCGGCGATCATACAGCTTTACTGGAATGCAGTGCTGAACTCATATTACAACTCAAGTGATGCTGTGCGAACTGCTGCTGTTCAGGTAATCATAAAATCCATCATCTTTACGGTGTTTTCAGGGGCAGGGATCGTGAAATAGATTTCAGGTTTTCGAAATAATTTATCAATATTAAGGAAATGAAGTGTAAAGGATTCAAAAACTTTTTTTCTTGAAAATTCTGTAGCGATGGAAATTTTGTAGGTTGCAATTCTAACCCTAAGTCAAGGGTTGGTGACACCGGGTTCATCAATTCCAACATTGATCGCCATGTCCACTGATCAAAATACTCTTGTGCGGAACAAAGTAGAAAATATGTTGAGAGATATCGATTCAAAATATGCTGGCATGGTTCCGGTTGGTACTTTCATCACCCTTTTTTCTTTTTTTTTTCTAAATTTTAATTTGGCAGTACTGATTCAGTAAGGATTGGTGATATCTTCCTTCAAATAAACTTCGATATGAAATCCCTATGTTAATTACTGTGACTCATTGCTTAGTGAATGGTTGTGCTGAAAATTTTTTATTAATATAGTTTCATAGAAATGTTGTTTGGTTATTAGATTTTGAAGAAGTTGCAGAGTAAGGCAGTAGCAGGTATACGATGCTCATTTCGTTTGCATATGATCATAAAGAAGGACCCGGAATCTGTCCTCCGTGGTATTCGAGTCTGTGATCAGACAGTAACTGCCGCAGGTAGCTGTTGTAATTAGAGAATCTTTGGGCTTTTTCTAGATATATTCTCTTACATATTTTCGAGGAAGTGCCTATATTCCTGAATTCCTCATTTTTAGGTTCTGTTGAGAACCCCAAATTGATAAACGGAGTGCCGAAAATGACGAATGATGGACAAGCATTACTGAGTGGACTCTATCAAAATCTTCGCGGTAATCGGCAACAGCGAAGAAGCTTTTTATCTTCTGTTCTCCGATTATTTTCCGAGGATTCCCGAGAGGTTTTGATCAAGTTTTTTACTTTTTTTTTCTTTAATTTCAAAGGTTTGGGTTATGCCAAACACATGCCTTTTTTATACCTTTTCAATGTATTATAGAAACTGACATTGGAAGAATGGCTGTTCGTCGCGGATAATTTGGCAATGTTTCCATATCAGGTGATAGATGAGCCATTATATGTTATCCGTCGAATAGAATCCATTGTTTCTATAAGTGGGCAAAATATAATCAATAATTTTATGGGGCAACTTCTTCCTCGACCAAACAATGTAGAAAATGACGACGAAGCTGAATACGCGCCCGAGCTTATCTATAGTTAGTTTCAAGCAGGCTATTTCATTTTATTATCAGTTACCACTGTTATTACTAACTATTATTGATGTTATTATTGCTGTTATTACTATACTATTATTACTGTTATTATTGTTATTTTTGTTACCGTCATTACATTATTATTATTATTGCAGTTAGCCAGAGTTTTTATTTCATAGCTATTTACCCACTTCGACCTCTCTTTGAAATCGGAGAGATCAATATAAATTTCCTTCCTGATTCTCTATGGGTAACTTTCGTAAAGTTATTAAGTTTTAATTCTGTTTACATTATTCATAACTGAGTCACATCTGCTCAAAGCGACTACCTTTAGAAAAGTAACATTTTGGGAATGTTACTGGAAATAAAAAGATTAAACAGGATAATAGTGATAAATATGGAAATATGGCGAATATCGGGCTGGAAGACTACATTGAATAACCAAAATATGGTTGTTCACTGCGGTTATCTGTATCTTTTCTTTCCTTCCTTCGTCTGTACACGTTGAGATTATAATTTTTATCTTCATGTAAATCCTTGTTACAGGACGATTTCCGGAAGATAAGAGTATGCTTCACGAATGTATGAAGAACAGTCAAGCATGTTTCATATTACTCTATCTGAAAAATTTCTTGATGAAACTTTATGGATTTAGTGATGCGTAAGTAACCATAATTATTCAATTTCTTTGCCTTTGCGCACCTTTTGAATGAAATTAGTAATAATTGAAAATATATAATTGCTCCTTATTGATTGCTATGGACGAATATTGCACATGATGTGCGTACAGGAGTATAGTTTTTTTTTCAAAATTTTTTCCGAAATTTTGCGTCAAAAGGCACTATTAATACTGTAATGGATGATGAGGGTCAGGATATGCACATGGCTGATAGTGTTTTGCGTACACCAAATAATCGTTAATGGTTTTTTCTTCGTTGCCCGCATTTGAATTTTCAAGAATTTACTGTGCTATGTACTCATTTTCTTGGTAAATTTAGCAGATAATTAAAATGGTCCATTGTTTTTCACTTTTTTAATATCACTTTTTTCAAAATTCTCATTTTTTTCAGAAAAATACAGGAGTATAGTCCATCGGAAGCAGCTAAAGTTTATGAAAAAGCTGTTAGTAGTCGGCGTAATATGTTGATGTTCAATCCACATTCAGCGCTTCAAGAACTTCGTCCTGAAGCAGCCCAGAAACGTGACACGGTTAATGGTCATATCGAAATGGCTAATCAAATTGTAGCTGTAAGTCTTTTTATAGTGATACTACTTTTGTTAATTTACAATCGTGGAAATTTAGAATTTCCCCCTCATCGAAAAATTTTGATTTTTTAGTTCCGAAACATGTTGCTTTCGTTAGATCGTGATAATGGCGATGAGCATGATGGAACAGATGCTACAGGAATCATAGAAACAACAAAAGACACTATTAATACTATAATGGAAGATGAGGATCACGATATGCATATGGCTGATAATATTTCTGAAGCCACTAATCTTAGTGAAGCTGATGGTAGATCTGCTTGAAGAGGTTTTTCAATTATACATTCATTCAGTGGCAAGAATTTGCTATTATTATTTGCCTAAACTGTACGTTATTGTTTTTGGTACATTAAAGAAATTATTCTCAGGAAGTAGAAGTGTATTTATCCATTAATTTTTACTTCATTTTTCGAAAAGTTTGTAAGATCAGTCTTCTAACTTCGTTTTTCGTTGTAAATCCCCTTATTAAATTTTATTACTGTGTCTATTTTCCATCATGAAATTGCACTTAATAGTTCTTGAATTTCACCTCCTGATTTTACTCAAAAGTTAATATGGTCTTGGAATTATTTAAGGTCTCCGGGAGTTTTCTTCTAGATGCTGTCTTGTGTTTAAAGCTCATAAAGTCGTTAATTCTGACCTGGGCATTCGGTCAAACTCCAGCAAATTTTTTCTGTCCGGATCGCCGTCCCTCGTCGCTCTTCCTTTGCCTTAAATCAAAATCCTCCAATGTTAAAGTCCGTTGATCTTTCATCACAAATCTATCATCTCGCATTAAATAATGTTGTAATTAGCTCTTCTGCATTTTCAGTGAATCTATTACAATGTTTTATTTACTTTTTTATTGAAGGGATAGTATATATACACGTATATGGATACAATTGCATTGGGTAGAACTGAGGTAGATATACTAGTCCGGTCCTCGAAAACATTCCAATTTCTCATATTGGCCCTTTGGAAAAATTAATTGCCCATTCCTGCTTTAATTGGACTAATTTATTGAATGTATTCGGCTAATGTGAGCTATAATCATTGTGAAGAAATGTTAGCTCAACAAGAATTTTAAATCTTCAAACTTGAATGCTGAGAACATTATGTGTTCTAACCTGGCAAAAAAAGGGAGCCTTTTTGAAAGTGCATTTGACTACTACAAACATTTTTCTTCTGTAGGATTTGTAGATTATTGAATATCTTTTTTTTTCCTTTCTTGAACCAGTCGTCTTGAAGTAAATAGATGAATTCAATCACGTATACACGTTAGCTGTAATGACGTTAGCTGCTGAAACGTCTCGTCATGTGAAACATAAATCTGAAATGATAGGAAAATAGTAATTGCAGAATAGAGCATTTATCACAGAAAAGTAACTGAAGTGGCATAGAAGCATTATGTTAGTCGTGTTATATCGGTAGTCTCTGTATTTTACATGACATTGATAACTGAGATGCAACTGAAGTACTGTAGTGATAACGGGAATGAGTAAAATATATGCTGTTTGCACCCTCCACAACGCTGAGAATATACGTAGATTACAGTTCTTTAGATTCCATTAAATCCTGTGCATTTTAGATACTCATCTGTGTTTAGTTCAAAATATTTTTTAATTTCGTCTTTCCTTGTTTTGTTTTTTGGTGTGCCCGGTCTCTCTCACTTATACCCTTGCTAAAAATTTCTTTTACTCCTCCCCTTCTCGCTTTATCTCTCCTAATGTTCCACTTTTCAAATCTATAAAGAAATCAGTCATCCTCAAACAGTCGATGAAATTAAGTTTGCATCCTTTACACATCGATATAAATATTATCTCTTTGTGAATCGGGCATTCTCTAGTATTTTAAATCGTGCTGTGCGTAAATATTATTATTATTATTATTGTAGAACAGCTCCCTCACAAAGGTTTTTAGAAGCATCATGTCATTTATTTATGCTGTAAAATTCAGCATACCTTCCTCTATGTAAGGCGAAAACCACTGTGATTAATAAAACTTGATATAATTACGGAATCAATACTACTTTTTTTCTTCATATTGTCACAAGCCAAATTTTGGCACTTGAGGCAGAAAAAAAAAGCAAAACAAAAGCAGACACTTGAGGTTACTTGGAAGCTAGAAAGATCGAGATTGTGTGGAATTAAGGTTAAATGAATTTTTAATGTTCATATGTACATCATGTGTATAGAATTTTGTAAAGGCTATATCAATTTCCATCATGAGTAATCTCGGGAAGCATAATATCAACAAAAAAAAGGATAGACCAATTCACAGCATTCATTATGTTGTGCGAATAACAACGAACTTAATATGATTAAAGTGTACAATACTAGATTCACTACGTGTCGATCTTTACAGAAATCACCAACATTATTATTGCAAACATTAGTTACAAATCACCGAAATCGGTAAGATCTTCGTAATCGCAATTATTGTACTGCTCTACTGGTAGCGATTGTTGCTTACTTAAATTCTGCTTATCGATGGCGGTTGCACTACTGTATTCTGCACTCGAACCTTTCGATGTCCCTGGGAATTCAAAAATTGCACTTTTTTTTCTTTTTTTGTTCGAAACAAGGAAATAGAAATTCATGTTTCATTTACTAGACGGCTCCAAAAGTTAGTAAACAGAAAAAACAAAAAAAGAAGCGGGTCATTTGCTCGAGATTTGTTGGGTGAGAACTGCTATTATGAGCTGTCCAGTAAATGAATGAAGTTCAAGAGTAGAGCAAAATCTATTACAGTCTTTTATATGCGAAAATTCTAGAAGAGAAATGTAAAGAGGTTCCAAATTAAACTGGATGAAGCTTACCATAACCTTCCAAAGAGCTTCCGTGTACACGCTTGACATGTTTTCGTAATTCACTTGCTAATGGATATGTCTTCTTACATATTTCACAGACGAAATGCCTTCCTTCGTGTCGCTTACGATGAACTAACATTAAGGTTCTGGTCGTGAAACGTTTCGAACAAATATTACAGGCAAACGGAAGATCTGGCTGAAAAAAAAAAAGACTGATCTAACGTTGGCTTATGCTGGTCAGAACGAGGCTTAATTAAATCTAATCAGCATTCCAACAAACAATGATAAGTACGACAAGAAACAAACGAAAAGTGATAAGAAGCATAAGTGGACTGATCTACGAATAACCTGAAATCAAATGAGAAATAAACTTACCGACTGGATTACTTCATACTGTTTAATTTCATCAATCTTTTCCTGCGGATGAATTCGACCCATATGGCGTATTAATGACTGCCGTGATGCAAATTTCGTATTACATATTCTGCATGTTTTGTCTAAAAGTGTCTACAGTAAGAAACAAAATAAAAATAATGATGAGAACAAAAAGCAAAATCAAAATTATGTGTCCAGTGAGAAAACATCATCTAAAACAAAGCAATTACATACCAACTTTCTGTCTTGAAGACAGAGAAAATATCGAACTCGTAGATGAAGAAGGAGAAGCACCACTGACTTTCTTCTGCTCTTTGATGCGAGACTCATTCAAACAAAAATATTTGTGTCTCTAAAATGAGTTAGTTGTAATTCGAATAAATCCTACGAATAGTTAATCAAAAACTTTCTTAATGGCACATATGAAAGCAAAAAACTTGAAAAAAAGATTGAAGCCATGACCCAGCTGCACCCAACCTATTACACTCCTGCTGTTTCCAGAATTTACGAATGCAAAAAACCACCCTGTCCATCATTTCAAAAAATAAATCTTCATAACATCTGTTTCACCTACCCCTCACTTTAGAAATAATTTACTGGTAGCCTCTAAACAGCGATAATCTCGTTAGCATAAGACTTACACTCAATTCGATAAAAGTCCCAAACTTCTGCTTGCACTTATTACAATTATACTTCAAATTCAAAATTTTTGCACCGTTCTCATCGATTCCATGAGCTTTACTTTTATGTACAATTAACGATTCGAAACTCCTAAAATTCATTCAACTTACATGCACTTCTAAACATTCATATGTTTCTATTACTCTGGTATATATCTCAGTACTGTGATATCTAACACGGAGTCACAGCAATATCACATAGCACGATTCACCGGTTATCGTAGATGGAGCAACAGTTTTGCTTATAAAAACATTGTTTCTAAAAAAATTGAATTATTTCGTTTGCAACTGGACGATCTACTTAAACACAGAATTTTCTAAATAATAAGTCTCTTTCACTACCAGGATCTTAATGATAAGAAAGACTCGTAAAACGCCAACCGAAATGATGAAGAGCATCGATTACAAGTATGCACAAGTGATAGATCGTGTGTACGTTCATGGCGTTGCAAATGATGCTTCAATTTGAAACGTCTGTAGCAGTAACTACATTTGAAAATATAGTCCTGAAAAAGCAATTTTTCTCAAACAAAAAGGGTGCAGCCAACTTTCTTCACAATTCTTTGCATTACGATTCTCAATCCAGTAATCAGAAATTGTTCTTTCTAATTTCTCCCGTTTGTCTTTCCGTTTTGTTCCCGTTTGTCAACTATTTGGAAGAATAGGCATACCTTATTAGAGAGATGGATTTCATTTATATGATTCCGCATTGCGATTTCATCATCGAAAACCCGACCACAAGCGAAGCATATAAACATTTGATAATTCTGAAAATTCAATAATAACTGAACATTGATTACCGTCAAGAATATAGAGATCTTCCTAACATAGAATGCCGTCCTGAAAATTAATCATGATGGAAAAATATGTGACCTGAATATTTTTATCTTCAAATGAACCAATTCGTTTCGCACTTTCTTCACAGTATTTTAAAATTTCATCTAGTTTCGCATCACTTTCCGCTGTTTCCTCTGACTGCGCTGCTCTAGCTTTCTGAATCTAAAAAACAAGCTCTCGTAATAATGACCACGAAACAATACTACATAATTATATGGACAACAACGAAATAGTTATGAAAACTACTTGAAATAAATTATTTTTAACTTACATTAACATTAAATCTCCTAATGACCATTAACAAATTATAAACTAGTCAAAAGTGCTGCTATTTTCCAAAAAATTCTGTAACTATTGGTTAATCACTTCCTTTCTATATTCCCAAAAATTTCACATAAAACCGATTCTAGTAAAGCTGTTGGGAGAATTCCTACCTACCTGGTCAATAACATCCTTCATTGAATCCACAGCGATGAAATATTCTGCTTCTGGATCATCTGTAGCATCGGTAGTGGCAACACTTCCGCCACTATCCAAATCTGGCATATCTTCCACTTTCTCATTAACTTTACAAATCCATTCTGAATACTGCGCATATCCATCGATTGCTGCACGCCATCGTTTATGTTCATTTTTCCGTTCTTCTGTGATATCTTGAGCTCGTTTTAACACTACAAGTATAATGTAAAGATAAACTTCATGGGCTAAAACACCAAGAGAAAAACTCTTCAAGATTTCTAAACACACGAAATACCTGGAGTAGGAAATAACAGAATTGTTTTAAACTACTTTTTAAAACTTCCTAAGTAACCTAAACACTACAACAAAGCGATACTTCATAGTTCCATTCCATTTCAGGAAAGCGAGACAGTGTTTTGTAATCTAATTCGAGGGGGAGTTATTGCATTTTTATTACTCGTTATGCATGATCTCCTTGTTGATAACCAAGAAATATTATTATATTGTTAACTTTTCAAAGTTAAAAAAGAACTAGACTGCTATTGCTGTTAGAAATAGTACTGGATTATAATATATTCAAATTGTTAACCAGGGAATTATACATATATATATATATATATATATATATATATATATATATATATATATATATATATATATATAT